AAGTGCCTTATCCCCTCATGCTCAGACTCTGCAGCACTCTCTCTGATCTGGCAAATTCTTTAATCCAGCATATCCTGTTTCCTTGGGTTGCCAGACTAAAGAGGTCCAAATGCATTAAGATACTTAAAATATATTTTACAAGTATGGAAACTGAGTGATATGATCTCCTCTCTCCAAATTGCAGACGGCCTGAAAACAGAAAACCCATTAATTTTGCAGGGGCCCACAAAACCTAAATTCATCTGATATGAATGCAGGGCCCATTTGAGCTCCATTTGGGGTCTACCACCTTATAAGACATCCAGAATACCCAGAGGAAAGCAGAAGCTGAAGAGTTATATAAGTCACCTCACAGACAAAACACTGGAGCCTGCATTGATAAGAAAATGAGAATGTTTTTTGGAAAGTTTCTCATGTGTTATGTTTTCTGTCATTTTTGCCAACCCTTTGTAGATAATGTTTATACTTATTGGGCTAAGATGCTTCCATTCCTTTTTCTGATCAGCTATCCACTTGCCTCCTCTCCTCAGTGCAGTCCCAGTGGCAAGACTAAGGTTGGGGCAGAGCAGGATCAGCAGAATGATCTAGAAGAGAAAAAGTGGGCTCCAGGAGAGTGGAGGAAGCCCCAGACTCCCAGGCCAGTGGAATGTAGGTGGAGAAAGAGCAGGAGAGGAGAATAATCCAAGGAATGAGGCAGAGTGGACAAAGACGGCAGGGAAGGCTCTAGAGAGGGCAGAAGGATTCAGGAGGTAGGGACAGAAGGAAGGAAAAGCAAAAAAGGAGAACAAAGGTACAAAGGTACAAAGGAACATAGATTGATGGACACAAGCCTAGTGGAAGGGGAAAAGAGCATAAGGTGCATTTTGTAGAGGGTAGTGGGAAAGAAGTGGAGGAAATAGTGACAAGAAATGAGGAAGGATCAAGTAGTTGAGTAAGGAGAACCAAGGAGATCAGGAAACAAGTGAGTAAAACTTTCATGAACTTTTTCTACAACTTTTGTCTTTTTTTTTTTTTTTTTTTAATAAAAACAGCTTACTGGCCATGTTAATTAATTTGTTGAGAATGCTGAAGAAGAAACAGAAATTACTCAAACTTTTTTGGGGATAAAATTTTGACCAGACACAGTAATTTTTCTCAGGGAATTCATTATTTCCAGAAATTACATAGTCTCCTCACATTCCAGAAGCTTACTGATGTGGTTGCTTGAGGAAGTGAAAGATTAAGCATCATGACTCTTTATATAAATGTTTTCTCCATGATTAAAATCCAAAACAGCTAGACTGGGGACTAAGTTGGCACCTACAGGGAAGAGATTCAAACATTAAAACAGATTGATACTACACTCTTAATATTTGAGTGTGAGCTGATCAAATATAGTCAGTGGCAGCACTGCACGGCTTCTGGACTTTCCAACAAACCTACAGCACCAGAACTGATAATGATAATTTTTATGACGACTGCCAAAAACACTGACAGTCTGAAAATCTGTGTACTAAATATCCCAATTGCACTGGTGTTTAGAAATAATATTTAAATACATATTTTTATAAAAGGAAGAACATGAGTTTTACAATAGATTTGCAGCTACAAAACAGTTAAAGACATTTAGTTAGTTAGCAAGTTAATATGGCATATTTGTAACCATAGTTTAAAACATATTTCTTAGGCAGAACACTGAACCACCATTATCCAAACATATCTACAATACTTCAGGACTGAACCTTCATTGTGCAGCATGAGTGCCCACTCAGGATTGGGTGGGCCTGATGAAGACTATAATCCCCTTAGGAAGGGCTGTCTTTTCTGATACAGTTCTGCAGTCTTGAGAACACTACTGGCACTCAAAAAATAATGAATTATAATTCCAATGGTAGCTGTAGACCAACTTTGACAGTGATAGTATTCTATCCCTCGGGAGACACCTCTCTGGGGTTCAGTGTATATTGGACCAACAGCATTGTAAATCAAATTCAAGTTCCATAAATCATGTCACATGTTCAGAAAAGCAAAAGGGGATAAACAAGTAATTGCTCTGTTATGAACAATGCCCTGAAAAACTAACGGAACAGCAGCAGGCGCAAATAGCATTTTTATGGTTCATAAAAATGTCCACTCGTAATTCTCTGTACAAAGATGTCTGAAATGTCAACATAAGTTCTAAATTGTCAGACCAGCAGGGAGAATGGCCAGCTGCATGTGCTTGCAGTCAGACTGCACTGTCAGACCAGCAGGGAGAATGGCCAGCTGCATGTGCTTGCTCACCCACCCCCATTATTGGCCACTGCACCTGCCACTGACTGCTGATGGGAGGTCATCTGACAAGCAGGGATATGGCCAGCAGCATGACCACCACTACTGATGGGGGAAAGATAGAAAAAAAATGAGACAATTTGCCCATTTTTAAGAAGAAGTTGGGACAGCTGCAGGAGGACTTAAATACAGGATTGTCCCTTTAAAATGAGATGCTTTGTCACCCTACACTTGCCTAATGAGAAGGTGGTGTTTACAGCCCCAATCCTGCAGTGTGCAGTATACAGACGCACTGCTGCTGCTTCTTGGAAGAAGAATGTAAAGTAGTGCTAGACACCTGCCTGTGTGTTACATAGCACATGTCAAGATATTAGCTATGGGGCACTCTTTCAGTTGGGATGGGACTAACACTGGATCATAGAGACAAGTAAACACAAGATAGGTACACAAGTTTGAGGTCTGCCAATCTTGACAGTATTTTTGTTTGTGCTTGTTTTTAATAAAGCTCTACCCAGACTTCATCTATACAAGCTACTTCTGCACCACTGTGTCCTTCATCTCTACCATTTTTGTCAAACAGAAAAATTTGCTCTCTTTCAGAGCTTACAGCAGAGATGAGGAAACTAAGGCCCAGGGGCCAGATGCAGCCCCCAGCATGCCTAGATCCAGCACCCATGACTTGGGGTTCCCCCTGAGCATTGGGGAGCTTGTGCTGGCACTCCAGCCCCTCTCATGCCCTCTGTTTTTCTGTGGGGCTGGAGCACACAAAATCTACTAACTTGGCCCCCATTGGCTGTGGTATGTGAGGGGAATGTGGGGGGTGGCTTTTTGCTTCTCAGTCGGGGACAGTGAGGATTTTTATTTGTTTTTTTGTTTGTTTGTTTTTTGCTTCTCACTTGTGTGCAGCCCCTGTGGTCAGTGGCCTCCAACCCCCAAAAGGTTCTCCACTGCTGGCTTACTGATTTCACTTTTTTATACAAATATTTACTCTCACTTGGGAGAATTAGAATAAATTCTTGTGCAGAGCTACATCTTAGAAAAAGAGAGAGCAAAAGGGAAAATCCCCTTTAACAAATAGGTTTTCTCTTTTATTTCTCCTTTGCACATTATTTAATCACATTTTTAAGTGAGTATCAGCGCTCTATAGGTTGAACCTCTCTATTCCAGCACTCTCTTGTCTGGCAACATCCATGGTCTGGGATGATTTTAGTTAGCTCTATGTCCACTTCTCATGCATGTGGCCAAGTTTCCCGGAGTCCCATAATGTGTGTTTACAGCCACCAGTTCTGGCTTTCAGTGTTCTGTGCTGTTATTTAGCTCTAATTTATCCCTAAGTGTCTTCTGAGAGCCCAGCAAGCATTAGAAGTGTTGGTAATACAGCTAAACAATATTAGCCTCCAAGTCAAATTCTCTGGTACTAGTCAGGTCCTGAGGGTGCTGGTCTGCCAGACTAGAGAGATTCAACCTATAGAACATTCTGGAGACATTCCACCTCACTTTGGATGGCTAGTTACAAAGATTAGGCATTTGAGTTTGACTACATATTACATGTTATTTCAAAGGAGCCCATATCAAATGGTTTGTAGAATTAGTTGAGAGATTAATGTTCAGATGACTAATGAAAAACACAAGTATAAAGCTATTTTGTTCCATAAATTCTTCAAATCCTCAACACAAGGAAATAACTAACATGTAGTTCAATACAACAAACAAAAAAGCTGAGGGTGGGGGTTTTTTTTGAGACTGCAGAAGTAATTTAATATGGAGGGTTGATTTTCTTAAAATAATTACTGCATGTAGCAGGCCAGCTAAAATCTCCCTAAGTGGACAGAGTTTATTGCTACTATTTATTGGGCTTCCTCTTATCATAACAAGGGTTTGATTGTGCCAGGAAAATGGGATGTGCTGGAAAAGGGATTGCTTCTCAAAAAAACATGCAGAAAAGAGACAGAGGGGCAGCCTCTTTCACAAAGCAAGTGAAAGAGGCTGCTGCCCCATCCTGTCCGAGACTGCCCCAGATCCTGAGTCTCCCACACCCAGGTGCCAGGGAGGGGGCAGCAGAATTGAGTCCCCCCCTCTTGATTTCTATGGGTACATTGTTGTTTGTTCCCCTTCATCAGAGAGCAAAGGGAAAATGCACAGTTTGCTGAATTTCTCACTCTGGCTGGGGAGTGTGAGTGAAGGGAGGCAGATGAACCTGTACCTGCCTCATCTGGGAGATATGAAACCCTCCCACAGTTGTGCCCACTGGAATTGCAGTGGCCATGGAGAGGAATTTCTGATATGCTGTCAAGCTGCTGCTGCTAAGAGAGGGCTGGGGTAGTCCAGCTCTCCATGGGGAAGCCTGCTTACAGACCCCCTCATATCCCCAACCTCCAGAGCAATGATTTAAATGAAGTGTGTATATTTTCATTTTATTTTCCAAAAACCAAAAATTGAGTTAAGGACCCAAGCAACACCAGGTAAATATTCTAGTATGAAATAAAAGATGAAATATAACAATGCACATGGGTGAGTACTTACATTGAGTAGTTCATAAAGCAGCTATGAACTATTATTGCAGCAAAGCAATTCCAAATGAATTGAGTGACCTCATGGCAAGGAAAGTGCTTGATAACATACTGATGTGAGTTGGCGAAGTAATAATGGCCTGCACTTACCACATTAGTACAAGTGAAATGATGCCATTTATAGATTTGTGGACAATGAGGTGGCTGTATCCAACTAAGGAACACTTTTTCTCTTTCCAGTTTGTGGTCAGCTCTACCAGGAAAGGCCTAACAGAACAGTTTATGAACACACTGAATGTGAATAAAATAGAGCTTCAAGCCTGCCATGGCCAGCATGAAAAGGAATGGAAGAAACAGTGGCACCCAGTGAAGGATCCTTGCACTGAACCCGAGAGCTTTCTTCGTGCCTTCTAATTGACATTCCCTCGATCTAGTTGCGTCAGATGTAGCATCGTCTCTGCTGGCTTCAGTATCTCTATTTGGTACTGCAGTGGATGGATATATGACCTGTTTTCAGCATCAATCATCAGGTGGGAGATCAGAGACAACATTACAAATTTGACCACGAAAGAAACACTTGCTGGGAGAGATACAGTGGTAGTGTAAGGCCAGTGAGGTTCCAAGTGATTGAGGTTTATGACACCTTGAAGGAACTGGCACAGTCAAGTAAAGCCAAGGACAAAATCCAAGACAGAGGCACAGATCCAAGAAAATCAGATCACTGACTTTAAATTCCTGGTCTCAGTTGGGTGTAAGCAAGGCACTACAAACTCAGTTGGATGGTCATTGTGACCATTACTACCTTTGAAGAGAAGCTGTCTTGATTTCATTGTGGCCTACAAAAACAATGGATTTGAAGATGTCATTGTAGCCAAAGAAATGGTGGAAAATTTAAGAGTTGAGCCTGTCTTCAAGGAAACTTGTATTCATCAGAAAATACAATTTGGTTATAAGGGCAAAAAGGAGGTGACGGAAAACTTGGAAGAAAAATTCAAGGGAGACTTTTTTGATTGCTCATTTATGCTGCTTGAGTACCTGCTATGGGGCAGCACTCACCCCCACAAGTAGCCTCCAGTTGGTCACTCTAGGGAACTACCTCTTCAACCCTAGAGTGCCCTTTCCTCCTAGTACTGCCCTAGGGCAGTGCCCCTGCACTCTAGGGTCCTCCCCTCCCAGGGAACTCCCCAAACCACTAACCCCACCTTGCCTCAGTGACCCACTGTCAGTCATCATCTAGCTCCTCACCTCAAGGGCAAACTGCAATCTGAAATGGCCACTCATCATTAGCTAGGGGGTGTGGACCTGCTGCCTTTTCCTATCCTACCTGTTTCCTGGCAGCACTAGTACCTTCAAGGCCTTGCAGCTCAGGAGTGAGGTCAGACCAGAGCTCCCCAGCTCTGCCTGCCTTCCCCAGCACTGCTCTGTCTCAGGAAGCCTCCAGCTTCCCTGCAGCCAGGTCCCTCTTGCCCCCTAGTGAGAGCAAGAGCATATGTTTCCTCTCTCCAGGAGCCCTTATTTATATAGCCACAGCTGGGCCCTATTTGGCTATATCTGCCTCAGCTGTTGGCTTCACAGCTCCAGCCCTCTCCCAGGGCTGCATTTTAACCCTTAAAGGGCAAGTGAGAGGCAGACACCTCGTCAAGTGTCCATCAAAGAAAAGCACGGACAAATGAAGCACCATGAAAAGACCTGGGTATTCTTGTAACTCTTTAGTAAGCTACTTGAAGGCAGGACAACACTCAAACAATTATATTGAACCTTCGTGGAACAAGGAAACATGGGGAATGTTTGGATATTAATGGCAAATGACCTGTATATCAAATTGGACAACATCTATCACATTCTGCACCAGAGGAAGCACTCTCCATTTCATTTATGATGCAGAGCTGAAACGCATTTTTCTTAATAGATTTAAGAATTCTGCTCACATTGTTGGTCACAGTCATGAGTGGTAAGCACAGATTTTCAAACTCAGGCTCATTAAAACATGTCTTCAGTTGATGATGGCTAATGAGAAACTGACATTGCTTGCTATTTTATCGCTTGAAAATTCCATTGGCTAGTTTTAGGTTCTCTCTGATACTGTGCTTCACTTCACAAGGACAAAAATGAAAAAAACATCCTTTTGAAATAAAGGACTAGGTTTAACATTCTAAGGATGTCATCTACTATAACACTATTTAATAATGATCCATCCTCTGTTGGTGCTTAGTTCAATTTCTTGATGTTAGGACATTTCAGTTATTCTTAACATTAAAAAGTTTCTCTAAGATTAGAGGAAATGATTTTTCTTGTTTGTTTATATATGGCATGCAAAATTGTCTTCTATGGCAGGGATAAAACATGCATACATATTATGCATCAAAGTCCATGAAATGGGCTACAGATGCAATAAAAATAAGGTCATCTTAAGGTTAACAAATGTAAGGGATAGGGGTTGCTGAAGACGTGCCTTGCCTGGGGCACCATATGATCTACGGCCATCTCTGTCTACACACATTTATACCAGGATGGTCAATAACAATTTCTTTTTGTTGCCATTTTAAGAAATGAAGCTTCAGGTATAAGATTCAAATCTGGTGCTCAGAGTCAGATCCTCAGCTGCTATAAATCAGCACAGCTCTGCTGAAGTCAAGGGAGCTATACCAGCTGGCCTTATAACATGCAATATCATGTTATGAGACTCTTAAATAGCAACACATGCAAACAAGATGACAAGCAGATGGAGAGACAGCCTGAATGACAGCATTTTCAAGTGGCCTCCATTAATGTAAAATGGGCCTGCACCCATTTCTACACACAGAAATACTTTGACACACAAAGAGGGGGTTGTACATAAAACAATCAGTAGTTTATGTCTATCTACTCTATTGTCAGATAGACATACTTTATGAATGAAAATAAGAATTTGTGAGAGACAAGTGGCTGTGCTCATAACATTTGTGGGTGTGCTAATGGAAGCTATTTGAAAAACTGACAGCAAGTAACTCCTTGCTTTTGCCAATTTCACTTTTGTATTTTGACATTAAAATTATGGATAATATACTCCAAACCTGTAACTCAAAACAACTTGCTGAGTAGAACTCATGGTTATTATTACATATTCTTCCAATAGAATACATTGTATGAGAAGTCACATTCTATTCTGCTCATATTTTGCCATTACAAAATGAAACCATTCAATACTTAGAGACAAACAGAGTCATCATCACTATATATCCCTTCTTGAGGTGGATTGTTCTTTCTTTCTTTTTGTTTTGTGTTTGTTGTTTTTCGTGTTTTTGCAGCAAGTTTAGCAACTAGAGCTTTGAAGCCTCCTTTTTTATTCACAGGAACTCTATTGCCCTCATAAGTACAAAAGTCTTCTGATCCACTCTTGTCAATATTTGTGTTATTTACATTATCAGTTCTTCCAGGCAAGAACATTACTTATAAAGTGCTACAATGAACCTAAGAAATAACTAATCACCATTAGACAAAACTAATCATTACATAAGAAATAACTAATCATTTTCACTGAAAAAAATTAAGCACTACATTGTGTGGTTTTGTCAATAATGGAAGAAGTTATCAAAATGCTATCATGATCTCCTCATGGCTGATATAGGTCAAATTTTGTATGTGTAGATTATAGTTGACCTTTGATGAAGTAATGTACATATCTGAACCATTTATGCATAACCAATAGCGAGATATATGCTTGTACTTTATTCCTATACTATAATTATTCAGATATTCATATGCAAAGAGTAAAACTTGGAATTTATGTGGATTTATGGCAATGCTTGGAAGATTTGAGGTCCATGGCCTAGATCCATATATCTGGTAATTAATTTGTGAAAGATATATTAATGATCCAATTATTTCCTTTGTTCTCTAACAATATGCGACTGAAAACATCACAAAGGATGTGTCTTACAAAAATGTTGTAATTGATATGCTAGGTAGAATGTGCTGTAGGACTGCGATATGCTTATTTTGAACTCAGAAGATTAGGATATAATAATAAATAAGAGATATATTGTAATTTTCAGCAACATGCAGGATATGTTGATTCCTGTATTGTTGGGATGTGAATGTTACTGCTCGGTACCTCATTAAAATGCTTTATTTACAACACATTTCAGTTTAGTTTGTGAAATGATATTCAACGAGAGAAAAATCTGCCTACAAAGCCATTAGACATTTTACTATCTTTGAATAACCTTATCTGGAGAAAAATCATTGTTCTACTGAAGCTTTCAAAATTTCAGTGGCTAATCTACCAAAAAGTATTACTTGCCTGAAAAGACTTGTGTATTTGTCATTATCTATCTATCTATCTATCTATATATATATATGATGATCTTATTTTATTTAATAATAATAGTAGGACTCTACAACATAATGATTTTTTCGGGTAATATCACTCACAATTAGGAAAGTGATCAATGTTTTTTTTAGGTAAAGAAATAAAAGATGTTTCTTCTGTATTTGAAAGTCAGAATGAAGCACTTTATAGAAACAAAAAACATCAGACTGGAAATTTATACAGGGGCATAAATCACATGGACACAATGGTGTGACCAACAAAATGGAGAGAAAAAATAATTTCCACATATAGACTAGTCAAAATAGATCATTCAGAAGAAAAGGATGGCATGCAAAAAAACCCAAAGACCCTTTTACAATATATTACCCCTGGCTTTCAGAAAACAAAACAGCGGTAACGTAAATGTTTCTCTCCAGAATGTGTCAGGCATAAATCAATTGGGACACAGATGCTCAATCTAATAAATGATTGACACAAATGATTGGCTTTAGCTAATACTACTTTTTTTTTTTGGTCTCAAGCACACAAACACATACGATGTTGTTGCAGTAGGTTCAGAGTATGCCAAACATTTACATTTACTGAAAGTCTGAGTTGGTTTTGAGGCATCAGCTCTCAGGGGCCCCTCCGTCTATCCAGCTGGGAGGGAATTTAGGTGCCAGATTCTTGCTCAAATAAAAGCTTCCTCCAAATGCTTTGAAGCATGCTAACTAAACTTTTTTAGATTTTCTTCAAAGTACATAAGTCATAATAGTTTCTAACAGGCTAACATTTTCACTAGCAATAGCCAATAATCATTCATTATTCTCCTGATCAGCAAAGTAACTTCCGAAAAAACAGTTACCTCAAACACAGACAACCAGAATCAAGGTCAGTTTTGCAAATTTCCAGCCCTCAATCCCTTCTCATGAATTTGTCCTTTCACATTACCTATCCCAATCAGTAACGCTACAGCTTTCAACCGTTTTATTTGCCTCAGGAAGGCAAGGTTTTGATCCGGACTCTAGCATCCTCACTTCCAGTTTGGGGAATGTGAGTGGGGGGTTAAATGTGCAAGATGGTTTCTTATTATATCAAACCCAGTTTTCTCACAACCTACAGAATCTGTCAAACCTTCACTCACACTGGAAAAGAACAGTATAGGGATAGACTGAAGTTCATAGCATGTGTGTTCCATAAAAATCCTGTCCAATTAGCTGCCTTGTAAAATATCACATGCAACAACTTAGAAATAAATGGTAAAATGTGTTTTTTAGACACCAATGAAATCCTTTAAAAAATCTGTGGTTGTGAGAGTTTAATTTCACTAGAGTTAAGGATTTCTTTCTGGGTCCATCTATTACTGTAAAAGTAGTTTTAAGCAGCTTTGTAGATAGTCCTGTTAAAACAAAGCATTCTTCATCAAGCTGAAGAAAGAGATGAAAATAAACATTTATTTATAGTGTTTAATACTAGATAAGAACTATGAACAAAACTGGAAAGGAGAATAGGAAAAAAGGTTTGAAATAATAGTCACATGAAAACAAATTACCAGATTACAAACAACACTTTAGTATGTACAAGATTTAACAAATTAAAATTAGGTTGAATTGTGAAAGAGAAATACGTCTCCCTCTAAAAATAATAAAATATGTTCTTACTCTCAATCATTGCTTCTGAGAATTTAAAAAGCTATAGCATTTAAAGCCATGGCTTGACCTACTATTGGAGAGACAATGCCTCATTTAATCTGGACACTTCACTTCATTCACCAGGGTACTGATTCAGGAAAGCACTTAAATATGCCCTTAATTTTAACAATGTGCTTAAATCCCATTGATTTCAATAGGATTTAGTGATGTACTCAAGTGCTTTGCTAGGAACACTTTCCTGAATTGCAGCTCAGATGAGCCTGAATCTTCCACTCAAGGCAAAGCATTCACCCAAAGCACTTTAACAGACATTTTTTCCCCTCAAAGGAAAGCAAAAG